GTCGATGGGACCGGAAATTGTATTCTGGATACGAGCTGTCCGGCAAGACCCTCGCTATTCTCGGGATGGGCCGCATAGGCCGCGAAGTGGCTCACAGAATGCAGAGCTTTGGCATGAATATCGTTGCCTACGATCCGTTTCTAACAGACGAAATCGCCGCACAGCTCAGCATCAGAAACCTCAGCATGGAGGAAATATGGCCCATCGCCGACTATATTACCGTACACACGCCGCTCATGCCTGAAACCAGAAGTACGAATCGTTCGATCTGAATGTATTAATTTGATGCAAAAGATTATTATATAACGAAAAAAAGATTGCACGAATTTACGAATATTTTAGCAGAATAGAATCGATGAGTTTAAAACACTTTTTCCACCTGAAAAGAAGTTCTTCGGTTTTTTCTTAAAATACTCAAAAATTTTATTTTGTAAAGAATCGTAAAAAGAAACAACGTAATGTACGCCGATTCATTAGTAGAAAAGTCATTAAAAATTATTACCAAAATTGATAGAAAATATTTTTTCTATATTTTTCTACTATATACCATATACATAATTTTTAAATTAATAATAACTGATAAATTAATTTATTTCATAATAAGTTTAAAAAACTATAATTATAATTTAATATATATAGTATTTTAATTAATACTAATGTTTACATAGCTATATGTATACATATACATATGTATATATAAGTTACACTGTAAAAAATAAAATGTTAATTTTAACTCAAAGATGAGTGGATTTTCTGAAACATGTGCAAAAATGTTAATATTAACACAAAAATGTTAATTTTAACATTTTTGCATGTCTCAAAAAATCCACTCAACGTCTTTAAGTTAAAAATTAACATTTTATTTTTTACAGTGTATAAACTCGAAAGCAGAACAAGTCATTATGATATCATAATGATGTCAAAATGACTCCAAAAAATAATTTTTCATTCATTTCCGACTCATCTTAATGTCATTTTGATATTATTATGACTTATTATTCTGCTTGGGAAAATTAACGTATTAATTAAACTTATTAAACACTGTAAACAGTTTGCCGATTGAAATCTATACTCATAGGAAGGAATCTTAATAAAATAATACATTCTTTATTTTGAAAAGAATTAATTATATGTGTTAAAAATGATTGCATAGGATTATATTTTATATCTATATAAAAATATTTACTTAATCATGCATGTTTGCAGATATGATCAACACAACGACCTTGGCAAAATGCAAAAAAGGAGTGTATATCATTAACGTTGCACGTGGTGGCATTGTTGATGAGGAGGCCCTCTTGAATTCGTTAAAATCCGGTCATTGTGGCGGAGCGGCTTTAGACGTCTTCGTGGAGGAGCCGCCAAAGAATGCAATCACTTTAGAGCTAATTAAACATCCAAAAGTTGTTCCAACACCTCATCTTGGTTTGTATAATACTTATTTATTCAATTTATAGTATATGTCGCAAATATTATATTAAATTATAACAATAACTTTTCCAGTTATGTATCATTTTGACTTTAATCTCACGTTCTTTTATTTTCCATTACTTGTTTAAATATAACAGTAATATAACTTAACATGTTGCTTATTTGCTACAACATTGACAAGACTAAAAAATTGTCGTTTTTTTAATTGTATGTGAAAATAAAACGGAAATATAATCCAGACGTCACATTGTTTAGAAAATGTTCTTATGATATCTCTTATAAACATTTATACATATATGTCTAAAAGACGTCGTTATGATATAATAACTGATATGAGCTAACCCTTTTATTTCTGCAATCATCAATTATTACATCAAAATTGCATTTCAAATTAATATAAAATTTAATAACTTAAATTTTCTTGAATTCATTTTCTAAAAAACTTTGTGGTAAAACTTCGGAAAAGCTACAACATTTACAATTTTAATGCAAATATATTATTTTCCATGTATTTTTGGCTCCTGAAAACGAATCTGACAATAAAATGTGGCGGTCAATCATACTTTGGCCGTCATTTTAAAAAAACTGCCAAAAAATCGATTTTTTCTTCGTTTTTTTATATCTTAGAAAATATTGATTTGACAAAAAGAAGTTTTAAACAAAAAATTAATCCCTTTAAACTCTCTACAAAAAAGGTTCTATGCATAATGTTCGTAAACTTAACGGTTTACGACTTTCTATGCGAAGCGAGGGCCACTCCAAAAAAAGGAAATCTATTTATACGTGGACAGTGAAGTGTATAGATTAATTTTTAATTAATTTTTTATTTGAAACTTCTTTTTGTCAAATCAATATTTTCTAATATAAAAAAACGAAAAAAAAACGTTTTTTGGCAGTTTTTTCAAAAGAACAAAGTAAAATTGACCGTCAAATTTTATTGTCAGATTCTTTTTCAGGAACCAAAGATACGTGAAAAAAATGTATTTGCATTAAAATTGTAGATGCTGTAGCTCTTCCGAAGTTTAACCAACCTTGTCTTTATTAGCTAATTGTCTTTAATTTTACCGATTGTAGCAAATGAGCGACATTTTCTTCTATATCTTTCTTTAACTTTGAATGCCTCATTACAGAAACAGTGAAATTAACGGTTTATTTGATTACAGGTGCCAGTACAGAGGAAGCGCAGCAACGAGTAGCTGTGGAAATTGCGCAACAGTTCCTGGCTTTATCAGGTAAATCGACGGAATACGCTGTCACCGGTATCGTAAACGCTCCGGTCTTATCTGCCGCTATGACGGCTGAGAACGAACCTTGGATCGAATTGTCAAAGAAATTGGGTCAATTAGCCGGTCGCTTCCTCAAGGGTAAACTGAATACAGTAATTCATAGCCGCACGGTAGGAAATGGCATGCAAGACAAGAAGTTCATACACACAGCCGTTCTGGTTGGCATACTAACTGGTCAGACTAAGAATGGCTTGAATCTAGTTAACGCGCCCATTCTGGCACAAGATATTGGCGTGGAATTGCAAGAGGGCCACATCGAGGGTGACAACAAAGCGGTCATCGTGAAAGTTGGAGAACACATCATCAAAGGTAATATATTATAATTTAATATCATTAAGAAACTAGAATTTATTTCAAGGAATCTGTGACGTTAACTTTACAAAGACCAGAGAGAGAATGAAGAAAAAACTGAAAACAGAATTTTAAGTCGTAAAAACTAAATATATTTTTAACCGACAACTGAGACATAACTAAACAATTTTTTATTTTTGTTATTGTTATTTTAAAAATTGCAAATTTTTAATTAAATTTCTTGAAGAGGGCTATCTAGAATTTCAGTTGAAGTATTTTTCGAAAGTTTGTAAATTAAAATTTTCAAGTTTTTTTTTTACTGCGCATTATATATTATACATAATATCAAAAGTAGAAATGAAGCACATATGTTCTTAAATCTCCTCAATTGAACATTACATTACAATGATATCATTGTGTAATTACAGGAGCCGTCCGTGACAATCAACCGCTATTGCTCGCTTTGGACGACGCAGTTTTTACCAATGGCATCGTGCTCAGGGACTACATTTATTTATATCGGACGAATCGAGTACACGATCTTGCCAGTATCGTGAATGTTTTCTCGTCGAAAAACATGCACATTCACAATTTGAATGCCAATGGCAGTTGGGTCATCATTCACACCGATCAGCAGGTCTCAATTCAAGTGGATGGAATTGAGAGCTTTTAAGCGCACTTGCGTGCATCCAAGAGAGGCATACTGACAATAAGTGATCCTTGAGAAGAGACGAGAATGCAAAGCCTGATTTTTAAAGAATTCAGTATTGTCCAATTGCTAAAAAAAAAAATACGGACAGATCTTGTGAAGAGCTTACTATAGAAATACGCATCTTTTTAATTATATAAACTCCATTTATGTAATATCATTATTTATTATCTTTATTATTAAAGTAAATGAATAAGAAAAGCTAGGTAAAAATAAAATTTACTAATACATACTACGATAAATATTTAGTTTTCTTTTAGGATAGAGATTATTATATAGAAAAAAAAATAGATGTGTAATGCTAATTTCATAAATATCATATACGCGTATTAATCGTTAGCAAATAAGTTGTACTTTTTACATACATGTGCACATAGAAATGTAAATAAAAGTATATAAAATGTATCTATAGAGGTATTTATATTTTTATATTATTAGAGATTTTGTTAATAAAACATCACATTTTATCAAATCACCATTTATGTGTCATTACTGACTATACAAGGGTCTAAGCGCCCATATACAAACAAACAGTTTGCTTGTATAAAAAAAGATAAGAACTCTACTCTAATTGTAGAAAAAGTTGATCTTGTGAATAGTTTTACTAATGTTAGTAAAAGTTCTATAAAAAATATATTTATGGGAAAAAAATGCTCATGGAGAAAAATAGCATATCCATGGAAACATCCAATTTTAACGTCTAGGCCCTTGCAGTCAAAATATGATCATACATACATCGTTAATATTAGATATCTTAATTGATTCACGGTCGCTTTTATCATTATTTTTGCAATATACATTGTACTTTAAAATAAGAACATCCAATGTTAGAAGGGATTAACGAGTCCTTTGGTGTATAATTCACTCTTCAGATACTAATTATACGGCTTGGATACAAAAATTAATTATGTATCAAATTAAATTGAAATGTCTATCTCATAAAAAAAAATAACATTGAACGTGACATTGCGTAATAAAGTATCACATCTTTCAATGTATATACATTGTACTTTTAACATGATAAACAAATATCGAAAGCAACAGAAATACCAAAATTAAATGTACAATATATTATACTGATTGCAAACAATTTACCAAATTAATTTACACAATGTGAACGGTTGATTAAAAGATTATTCTTATCTTAACTATTATATTATAAACTCTGTTAAAGTTAAATGTACAAAGTTTTAAAGTAATACAAACAGAAATAGAAGTAGAAAAAATATTTGGAATATAAATGGATTATTTATAATACACTAAATTATGATAAAGTTCAGGCGCTTAATAAATATGAAATCGGATCGGTTTAACAAAAACATATTATATTCTCTCATAACTGTCCGCTCGACAACAGTTGAAGGTATAGACGACGCCGTCCTACAAAAAGATAGAATAATATTACTCTGGATCAAATAGAGCTATAACCATATTACTAATTGTCGCAGCCACTTACTCTGACTAGCGAAGGAAGTTTACACCAGAAATCGTGATTAGGCACCATCTCCCAGCCTGTAGCTCCCCTCAATGCTTTCAGCACTATGATACCACCAATGAAATATACACCAACGCTGACAAAGAACAAAATAACTAAAAGAGAACCCGTAGATAATCCCATTTCTTGATGTAACCTACACCCGTATGGCGAAGTCAGCTGAAAAGACTGCAAATATTATTAGTAATAAAATTAAATAAAAAATGATGTCGTAATACCAGACAATATTATTACTATTTTCATACTTACATATGTTTTATTATTAGCAGGAATTGGATCAGATTCAAGTACAAAATTGGTTTTATCTCCCTTAAAGCACACAATGTTTATTATCATTTTAGTGTCATTATGATGTATTTCAAAAATTGGAAATTTGCCATTATACGACAATTTCATTTTTGTTTCTTCTGCTGTTCCAGTTAGTATTTTAGTGTTATTGCTGCTGGGTACCATACATAGCTAGAAGAACACAATATTTATCTAAGAGATACTGTAAAAACATCAATTATGCAAATAACAGAATAATGTATTTTTTTTAATTGATCAAAACTGCTTTAAATCTTACTGATATATTTTCCTTAGGACATTTTGCGTTGCTATCTACCGTCATATTTACATTTGTGCATGGATGAAAATAGACTGTCCAATTAATGTTATTAGCAGAGAATGGCCTGAAAAATAATTAATTAATCAATTTATATTCTATATAATGCACTGTTCTACAAAAATATTAGTTATACATTAAATAAATATTGGAAGTATTTAGATAAACAATGAATATATATATATATATAGATAGATATATAGAGGTGTTTGATTCTTAAAATGTTTTATGAAAAAAGTAGTGCAACAGATACTGAGTACAATTAAATGCAAATCAATTTACATATTTTTAGTATTAATAAATATTTTAACTACATATTCTCCTAATTATATCTATATTTTTTGTCTTTGTTATCATGAAAACCTAGAAACATCAATAGGTTTAAACTATTAACACCAAATATAAATAAACTGATTTTTAATTTATAGCAATTAATTGTACCAGTGTCGCATTACTTTTTCTGGTGGAAAACGTTAAATAGCAGAATTACAGAAATATCAAATATATTTTCTGGAAAAGTATCTGGAAAAATAAAAAACAACTTTAATAAAACACAAAGATTTTTCAATAATAACACAAGATTAATAGGATTAAAATATTTTGTTCATTGTTTATTTAATCAATTCCTCTAAAGTTTTCTGCAAAAGCTGAATTTGTGCTAATACTATTTTCTCTGTTTATAAGAATTAGATAATGGACATATAAAAAAACGCAAAAACAAAGCCGGAGGAAACACGGAGGTTAACAGTTAAAAATCTACTAACTTTTCGTCAGCGAGGGCGGTCAAATTGTAATAGTAGCCGTCCGATAACGAGCAAATGCAAGGTGCCTTCTGTATGCATTCTGATGACGTCGTGTCGCAGAAGAATATCAGAAATAACGAAAACACGATAAACGTCGCATTACTACGGCACATTTTTCTCAGCTTTGTTTCATTGACATTCGCACTCTTGACAAGACGATCTTGATACGTTTCTGAAAAATAGATGTCGTTCATAAGATATATCAACGCAAATATTGATAATGGAATTTGTAATTACCAATAGTCGGACATGTCACTAGACATTTTTATCAACCGTTGGTATATGTTGCTATCAAAATCGATCATCAGAAATAATTTTGAGAAAATTCTTTTAAATTCTCAAAAATCAAAAAAAGAATTAGAACAATATAAAAGAGATAACACCAATTAAACTTTCAAAAATTGCTAAAATTAAAAGTTAAAATATTTACATCTCTACAAAACTCCACTCTTGAAAATTAAAAAAGTGTAAGAAAAATTCAGTAAGAGAGTATTGTGTATACAAAGACACGTACACATTAAAAATTCCGTGCATTACAATTACTAAAATGTTATTTGATGTTAATTTTCTTTAGTATCTATAATATAATAACTACGAGTAAAAAAATTAATAGCTAGTATTATAGTCCATTAGATTCTTACTTTAAGGTCCAGTCATAATTCATAATTAACTCTTAATCGCGGCGAGGTTCAACTTATCTTCCATTTCTTTTCTGATTCTAGAATTGGAAGAAAATGAAAAATAAGTTGAACCACGGTTAAGAGTTAACCATGAATCGTGAAACTGGGAATAATAAGATAATCTTAAAATTAAATATATTATATAAAAATGCGATTATGCATGAATATCAGACTTATGCCCATTTCCACTAATCAGATTAACTTTAATCTCGATTTAATTATAGCTCTTCGTCTTTTTCTATAATTCCAAAATCAGAAAAAGGTAAACAATAATTTTAAGTTAAACCGAGATTATAAATAAGTTAATTTCTCGGTTAATTTGCATTGATGGAAATATAATTGGTTTTAACTTTAAATCCTCACTAGATTTATATTCTTTGATCGCAACTCGTAAAATGCTTTCTTCTATAAGTGGTCATTCAAAATAAGAAAAGGAAAACAAAGAGCTATTACAAAAAATAATTGTTTTTACTATTGTAAAATTTTTTAATTAATATTAAAATTTAATAATTAGTTTATACATTTATTAATAAATCTAGTGAGGAATTAAAGTTAAAACCAATTATATTAAAGAATTTTAAATACTTATAAAGCTGCGTTCTCTGCATTGCACACCCTAATATATACCTATATATAAGATACCTAAATACCTATATACCTTAAATTTAAGCATAATTCCGTCGTATTTAAATTTTTTTTTCATTCTCAAAAAGTAAAGTTTGTACTTTAAAAAGCTTTCGATAAATTTTCAGGAGACGCGGTGGTAGTGTCTCCAGCCATGTGTTGAAAAACTGAAAGACACTACACAAAGTCTCTTATCCCGAGCCACCAGAGTCCAATTTGGGGGGTGCATAACTACTAAAATATAAAAAATTTTGAATCGAACGTTATATGTCCTGAAAAGGTGGCATTGCCACGATCGAGTAATTTGAGCCAAAAAATTTAAAATCGGTCAAGCCGTTCTGGAGTACAAGCGGTTGAAAAGTGGTGATTTTAATGAAAAATTAAGAAACGTCTCCTCCTACTCTTTCTTCATTATTTATGTATATATGTATATATATGTATATAAACCTATAATACAGAGTGTCCCATAACTATATTAGCAATATTAGCATCTGAAATATCTTTGAATCAATAAGGTCTAAAGAAAATTACTCGAATTGCTCGTTATAAAAGGAACTATCATATGGAGATAATAATTTTTATCCAGATGGATGATTCCTCTAATTCTTCTTCATTAAAAGTATTAAGATAACGGTATAATTACATTACATAAAAAAATGTATACAATTCCACTTAAAAGAAAAGATAAAACTGACCTTGATATCTCCGAAGCGCTTCCTGCACCTGGATAAAAACTTTTTAACTCTTTACATACACTGTATACAATATTGGTTATACAAATTTTTCTCTAGATTCTATCGATTCAAAGATATTTCAAATGCTAAGAATTATTACTGAAAATAAAACACCTTGTATATATTTTGTGACTTTATATTTCGAATGGCTAAGACTTTCGCGGGCAATCGACAGTCGAGTGTGATTTCCGGCTGATCCGACTGGCGCGCCGCGACTTCCGGCGCTACGTCAAGTGTGCGTTCGGCGAATTTACTTCTGCGCTAGCGCAAAACGCGGCTCGCCGTGTGGGTCACCGCGCCGCTACCGCCACCCCGTCAACGCTCTACCGCTACCGTTGTCGCTGCCGCCGCCGCCGCCATCCGTCGCCATCCGTCGCCGTCGCTGTCGCACACCCGCGAAGGAATGTCGATGACTGTCAACACGGAAATCGGCCTTCACTTCACGCCATTTTGTCCGCGTGCGCATTGTTGGCGTACCACCAGTGCCGATAATCTCGCGGCACTACGAACGTCGGGGTGTGGATCGTGCCAGGAGCCGTCGACGAAAGGTAAATACTCGTGCCGACGTGAGCGTGCGTGCGTGCGTGACATCGGTGAGGCTTTTCGCACGGAGGCTTTATCTCACGTATACATACATATTCGCGCGCCCGAGCGAACAAAACGGGGAGGCGCGCGCGCGCGTTTCGGAAAGAATCGATCGCGTTTCACCGTCTCTTCCGCGCCTTACCGACCCCGTGTGCCCGTTGGAATTCGGAACGGAGTGGCGCGTGTGTGTACGTTCCCGGGGGTGACGTCACCGTGTCGGTACCACCGTCGGGACGACCCGCGCATCCCCCTCGCTCCTCCTCTCCCCCTCCGGCGTCGAGTGGGGCCAGTCTCGCCGCTTTGATCCGCGAGTCACTCCGGGTGAATCGTGCGATCAGTGCGGCTCGCTCGCGTTCGTCCGGCAGCTGGCTTCTCTCCTCTTTTACTTTGGTCTTTTCGTTTTCTTTTTCTATCGGGTTTTTCCTCCCTCTTGGGGGGGGAAAACGTCCGGGGAACATGGGCGAAATAACGCGAGCGGTTGCTAGGTGTCACGGTCACGGACGGTAAGCCGCGATAACCGGACGACGGCCCGGCCCCTCGCGAATCTTCCTTTCGGGGTGTTTTCGTTCGCGAGGCCGCGAGAAACAGTCCGCCGTGCCCCTCGTCGACGCCGAGTTTCTCATCGTGAGTATCAACGAACCCTCTCTGCTCTTCTCCTTCCTCCCCTCTGGCTTCTTCCTGGCCGACTTTTTCCGCATAGCCGCTGGAAAAAGAAATATACCCTGTTTAAATATCAAAGGAGCAATGGTAACTCACTCCCTTGAATTAAATAACACGTTTTATCACTTTCAGCTTCTGTGTGTGTGTGTGTGTGTGTGTGTGTCAAAATGTCAATCAGTTTATTTCTGTGGTTAGTTTCAAAGTAAACAACGTCCGCGTTAACATCGCACCTAAATAGTAAACTAAGCTCGAGTTAGGTTTAATGTAATACATTTTCATTATAGTTAAATTTAATTTAACCGCATTGTTTCATTTAACGAATTGGAGTAGAGGAGTAGTGGTGACCTATAGAAATGATTGAAAATAACTCAATTCGGTATAATTTGGCATTATGAATTTAACGGTGTACAGCGAGACGATCCACGCGATGTATGGATGTGTTTCGCGTGATTTCCACGTTTCTTTTCGTCTCCCCTTTTTCGCGTGGCCGGTGAATATCGAGGAGCGAGAAAGGGTTAGGTTACCCCGGCCGTCGGTGCGTTCGATAAAAATATTCGTGGATATCGATACGCGCGCGCGAAGGTCTCCCCCCCGACTCCCCCGTTCTCCGCCTCCTTCCCGCGAGTGCGTCCGAAACGAATTATTTATAAAAAAAAAATAGGCGAAAAGGAGGAAAAGACGGATGCGCGCTGTCAAAACGGTGCAGCAGTGGCGTGAGTCTTTCTCGGAAATATAAAAGAAAAACAAAGAGGAGAACCTTAAATTTAATTAAATTAAATTTTACTGCATACTCAACTATTTACGAATTTTGACATCGATGAGAATCAGTCTAATTAAATAAGATAAGTTCTGTAAGATAAGATTCTGCAAATCGATAAAACGCGCATCATAAAGTCTTTTTTGATCTTAAAATGCAATTATGAGTAGGACAAACTATAATGTTTCGATTTCACAACTATATGTTTATGATTAATAATGGCATGTATAGTCAATTGTGTCATTAATAATAGTCACTCACACTAATCGAGAAGATCTTCATTTTTTAAACACATGTTTTAATTATTACTACATAAATAATACATGAATTTAAGAAAATAATTATTGTGATTGCATTAATATTGAATACAAATGTTTATTTTATTTGCCACTTATACAATATTTTATAAACAATATTAATATTTGAGATTAATTGTTATAATTTATAATACAATTTTTTATGTTTAAGAGAATATGTAATATATATATAGTTATTATTACTAAATAACATAACAGTAATAACCACAAAAATGGAGCTTCCAATTATAATTATTTTATCATACGATTATATTCACAAATATAAAATACTTCTCTCAGTATATACGTAATTTATAAATATTTATTGTTAGCCGTTTCAGAGATTGATATCTTTCGCATTTTTATCAGTCATTTCGGGTAACCGAATCCCTTGATTTAAATAACATTTTTATTATTTTTAATTTCCATGTATGTGTCAAAATTAATCTATTTCTTTGGTTGATTTGCTCAATTTTAAAATAAGCAACGTCAATATTAACGTACGCACTTAGTCAATAAACTGTAGAATCTAATTTACATTTCTTGACTTAAATTATTTGACTTAATTATTTTAGTAAAATCTGTTAAATTAATATTGAGTTGAAGCAGTGACAACCTGTAACAACAATTAAAAATAACTCAAATTTAGTATAATTTGACATTATAAATTTAACAATGTAATGTTTTGAAATTCTTTAACATGATTCTGTGATTGATATTTATGACGCTTTAAAATTGTACCTATGACATTTTTAAATTGTATTTAAAACGGTTTTAAATATAAGATCTGACTATGAATACCGATCTTGTAATCAGTACAGA